TTCCTTTTCTTTCTTCCTTCCTTTCTTCCTTTTCTTTCTTCCTTCCTTTCTTCCTTTTCTTTCTTCCTTCCTTTCTTCCTTTTCTTTCTTCCTTCCTTTTCTTTCTTTCCTTGCACCACATCTCCATATCTGAATCTGGCTCAATTTAAAGGTTCCCTCTGAACTGAGCAAACCTGTGATTGATGGTCAGAATCACAGTGAACTTTATCTTATCTTCAGTCTTAATACCTTCTTTTAATAACAAATTACACAGAGTAGAATATATTATCTACGAGGAGATAATGATCTGTAGGCTTTTAATGAACCCTGTTTTATCTAAATAATTTAATCTACTGTGACATGAAAACGAAAGCCTGGATTTGCAGATCCCAATAAATAATCAGCGCTGCCATGTTTCCCACTGTCAAAAAGGATATCACTTGGGCGAGAATCTGTTCTATTCATCTTCTCTTATGTCGTGGACTGATGTCATCAATGCGTGGCATAGTGAGGTAGAACACTACAATTACCCCACTGGATCCACCAATGGAAAATCTATTGGTCACTATACACAGGTAACAACAGCTTATACAGAAAGGTTTCTGCTTTCTTTTACCTGTTTGATAGCTGCTTCTTTTTATTAACCCATTAAAGCCAAGTGCATCATCATTTGTTTACATGACTCTTTGTGAGTTTTTAAGACTTCTTCATCATCATTGTGATTTATTTCCCTCCCCCAAAAACACTGAAATAAGTTGCATGGTACATCGAAAAGAATAAATTGCAAAAAGAATGGCTGATGTAGCAAATATGATACAAATTAAAACTCATATATGCAAATTGATATCACGTATTTTTATTCACCAGACGCTTCCGTGAACACAACATTTTTAATTAGACCTTTTTTGGCAATGGATTAGTGATTGAGACTTTAATGGGTTAACTGTGGATCAAATGACAAATGAAACGACTTCGTTCATTTCATACAGCTTTTCAGCATCTTTGGGGTTCTTGTTTTCTCCATTTATTACTGTCTTGCTTCAGTCTTACAGATCTTTGCTCAGCAAAACATTCACACAATAACAAAGTGAATACATACCCAAAAGAGCGTGAATCTTAAGCTTGCAGTGATCAG